GATTTTGGAAAGATAAATTTCAATGCATCCACCCCTAACATATTTGACAAAAGAAAATTTGCTTTTTATGGCTATATATCATTTTTCAATGAAGCTAGAAACAAAAGCCACAATCTTCTTTTTCTACCTTTCTCACCACTCGCCGGGCCTTTTTCTGTACGGGAGAGAGATATCATCCATTTTTCCGCAACCGGCGCACCTAGAGGAGGTGGATGACACTGGGACTCCTCAATCGGTATTCCCTACCGTAAAACCCAAAAAAAATCAGATCAGAAAATCGTTAAAATTTTTTTCTGCTGTTGTTATCAAGTTAAAAATTAAACTCGCATCTTTATATGCTACTTTGCATAGCCAATGGCAGTTTTGCTGTTTATAAAAATTTGAATTTTAAATTGATCCCGAGTATCGTGGAGCTAGAAGACAGTTCCAATTCGCGAGGCTTGAATGAAACAAACTGAGATAATGTTAATCGTAGCTTACCTGAGCTCGGTAATGTAATCCTACCTTATTACACCTGCTTGCCAAACTTATCTCCAGCTAAATTTGAGGTATAATGTCAATTATAAAATATTCTGAAAATCACTATCAGCTTCAAAACCAGCATGTATGTAGTCGCACCAGTTATGAAGGTCGCACCAGTTTTTCGAAAAATTATTGATCTCAAAGTTATTTTGGGAAAGAGACAAAGCTGCACTTCAAAAACATAAGCAACAAAGAGAACTTTTGAGATTCAAGAAAAATCATACAGAATAAGGGTTGCTGGGTAAGTAGCACAGAAGGTTCTGACCATATTTAAAAAAAAGTTTTTTCTAGTTTTTTTTTTCAAATTGGTGTTGTTTTTGTGCGTGGTAAGATGAAAGGATCTGACAAAAACCACAAACTTAGGCATATTCGCCAGCGACATTAAAATAAGCAGATCGAGCAACGGTTTAAGTCAAATAATTCCAAAAAAAAATAAAATAAAAAAAAATCTAAATTTATTTTCAGCATTTCTTTGCAGTAATTGTTTTGAATATATATATATATATATATATATATATATATATATATATATATATATATATATATAAGCCTTTATAACTCTTTGAATTTCACAAACAATTTACGATTGGCGCTTTTTGATAAAAATGAACCCAATTTGAGAAAAGTGAATCAATAGGTAAAGTTATCAATTCGCTGCGAAATCTAATTATTAAATTCCATTTTCGAAATTATAAGTCGATAACGTTTTTCGTTCTTTTTCTTTTTTTGCTGTTCGATACTGGAAATTTCCTGCCTTTTAACTATACTGATACGGTACGGAAAATTTCAAAAATGGACTTTGCCCAAAAACCGTAGTTGTTTCTCCAATAAAAAAGTGAGAGATCATCAGTTTTCCCAAGAAAATAACGTTTCTCAAAAAAAAATAGGAGCCGCTGCTTCAGCAGGAACCAATATCGCATTAAGTTTTTTCAGTTGAATTTTACATCTTAGATTTGATTAAATAAATTTTAAGGAAATTCGGAAAGTTCCTAAGCAACGATAAAAAGTAATGATTTCGAAAATTCATGGCTTTTTCCAGCAAAGAGCAGGTTGTGGCCGCTGAAACAGAGAAGATTCCCAAAACAGGGTTTTTTCATTGAACACAACCTGAGAATTGGCACGATAATTTTCGCGTAAAGTCAAGAAGTTTGCGAAAAACTGTCAAAGTTTCAAAATTTGGACGACTTGTTTGAAGGCTACAAGTTTTTTCTTAAGCAAAATGGGCATAGCCAGCTATAAAGGTAGGCTTTCAACAAACTATTGTTTCGATTAAATATATGATAAAAAATTTGGCAGTATAGTTAGCGAGAAGAAACCCAAAAACGGTTCACTAATCAAAAAAATTGATATTTCCAAAAATCATACCTTTGTGTGAAAAAATAGCGCGTAGCCACCACTCAAAAGAATTTTTTGAAATCTTTGATTTTTTTACTTTTGTTTTTCTAAACTTTCAAAGAATTTTGAATATATACGAATATCTATATAAATACATATACATATATAATATCTAGCCCACTGACAGTGGAAAAGAGTAATGAACGTAAGTTAACAAAAAAAATCTAAACTTTTGAGCTCATTGAGTTTTTAGAAAGATTTATGATTGGTTCTTTTTTTGATAACATTAACCCAATTTGAGAAAACTGGACCAACCGGTTAAGATTTTATTCCGCGAGAGATCTGAAAAATTAAATTCCACTTTTGAAACAAGAAATCGTTAACGTTTTTTGCGCCATTTCCACGTTCGTATCTGGAGAGAGCTATTTACGTCACTTTCAGCAGATGAATTTCAATTGAACACAAAAAACGCATTCATAAGTGCATTAATATGTAAGAACGCGCATCTGCAGTTATTAGAGCATTTTAAGATTTTTCTTGAAAAAAAAAATCAGCAAGACCTATATGAGAATCTTCACTACGTTCATTACTCTTAAGCAAAATATTTCCATTTGAAAAACAAACAGTTCCTGGTCAGATTCGAACGCACGACCTTTATCGTCCCAGGCATATTCGTTACCTCCAGGCTAAGTTGGCCGGGAATGCATAGAGGTTTGAATTCATTGTGAACCTAGCCAGTCAGGTCTACGTCCCACCCTCCCTAATTTGCCATGATTTTTGCGTTTTTTAAGTCTTAATATGCGCACACTCCCGCAATTTCTAATGGATGGCAGGGCAGCTGAAAACGCTTTCGCATGATAAATGCGCCCTTCGGGCGCAATTATAATGCTCAGTCAAAACTGGACCTGATGGCTTAAAACAACAACGATTTTTTACTTCCATTTTTTGGATACTTCCGAAACGGATGCTCCTCTCCAGGGCTCTAAGGGGCCCACAGAGCATCCCACAAGATTTGCCAAAAAAAAATTTTTTTCAAGGTTTTTTTCGTAATTAGTTTCAGCAATTTCATTATCTTTCACAACAAATCACAAAAATTTGCGGCAGCTTACAATTAACGTTAGTAGTTCAAGCTTTCCATCTGTCTATATATGACCTAAAGTAATGAAGCTAATGAAAGACAGATCTGAATTAAAATTTCTTTTTTTTACTACAAATTTTGGTTAAACGACCAAATAAGAAAATTATAGAAGCAAAAAACTCCAAAAAAAAGAAAATTTCAGCGTTTTTTGCTAACTAGCTACCATATTTTCCAACGAGATACTCGTTTTTGATGTCAGAATCCAGTATTTTCAACTTACAAAATTTTACATTTTTCGACCCTTAGATAACCGTCTTAAAAAGTGAAATTTTAAATTTTCGCGAAAGCAAAAAAAAAATTATGTCAAACGGTTATAGCATCATACCACAGTTCTTAGGCACTAATAGAAAGTTCTTCTTGACCAACGCCAAAAAATTTACTAAATTAGAGAAAATCGAAAAAACCATTTTTTGGGGTCGTTGGGAAAAGGGCAAAAAGACCAAAACCCATCTCAAACATAAAACTATCAAAAAGTGGCATTAACAAACCGCTTCATTTCCGTGGTCTAGGGTCGCATGCAAAAAAATAGGGAATTTTAGCCGGTAGTTTTTGAACACCCGGCTAATATTTTTTAAAAAGTAGGAACGTTAAACTGGCCAAATGTTCCGAGGGGGCCCCTACCCCCTCTCAATGGGTTTATATAGCGTCGTGGGCACGACCCCATCAAGACACAAGTGATTCAGTTAAACAAGTTGTTAACCCGTAAAAAAGTCTGTATTCCAGTTTGATAACACTTGCTAATTGGAAGCGTAAATACGACACTAAATAGCGAAAATTTAACATCATCAAAAAATCTGGGAAACTTGTGAGCAGTCTTCCATGCGTGTATGCGTTAACACATATTTGCTATAAAAAACTCCTGTCAAAGATCAACTATTCGAAAAAACATTCGAAAAAACTCCTTCACAAATAATGTACACGCATCTACATATTTGAGCTCAGGGTATGGATATCTTCAAAAGGATATAACAAGGTCCCTAAAAAACCTTGTTTCCAAAAAAACTCTGAATTGAAATGTTCAGGTTAAAACGAAAAAAAAATTGGACTGATAGTGTGAAACTACAATCGTTCATTCACTCGTGTAAAAGAAATGCATTGAACGTTTTGATAGCCTCTTTTTTGCTCCACTGTATTGTCGTTACTTTTCACAACTATTGTAGTTTATCCGAAGCAGGGGCGGATCTAGGATTTTCTCGAGTGGGTGAGGGCGGATTTTGAAAAAAAAAATTTGTCGACCTTTTTTTAGGTCGACCAAATAAAATTTCCGAGCTCTTCCAAAGCACTTAAGAAGACCCAGTTTTGGTAAAATTTTGTGCGCAGCAGGCAAAAATTTGAAAAACAGGCAAAAAAAGCGTTTTTAGGCATTTGTGGAAAATGCTGACCAAAAAATTCGGCGCCTCAAAATTAGTATATATGGCCGCCAAATGCGCCTTTAGAAAAATTTTAGGGTCAGTCACCAAAAAATCTCAAAATAGTACAAAGGGGGGACCCTTTGGGTCGGCAGGGGGTCGAAACCCTGAGAGGAAATAAGCGTCTGCACCCCTCCTCAAACCCGCCCCTGAACCGAATTACAGCGAAGGTCAACCACAAATCAATGGACTACTATGGTCCTAAAGACAATGTTATCAGGTTTTTTTTGTTCCACTAAAGATTGCTCCGGAAAATTTAGGGTACAGTTTCTTCTGACCTTCGAAGATTTAAGAAACTGTGAAACAAGATTGAAAGTTTAGGCACAACAAAGAATCCTCGAAACGAGTTTGAAATTTTTAAAAACCTTTTCCGGTTCGCTTGCGTTAGTCGAGAAAATAAAACCTACTCTTAGAACAGTTTTTGAAATATTTCGATAGTGATCAGTGAAATATCTTTGTTATCAGTGCAGTAACCGTTCTCGCTTTTTTCTTAACTTGTTTTGACATTTTTCTGCCATCTAATTCGATGTAACTTTTGGACACAAATGTACTCTTTCTGACTATGAAACATTAGGAACAAAATAAATTCTGATAACTCTTCTGTAAATTCAAGCAGAACATAAAAGCAAATTTTAAAACTCAAAATATCATCACATGACTAAAAAAGCGACTTACACATCAAAGTTTTCAACTATTTGTAAATATCTCAATAAATGTTTCATAAATATCAATTGAATTCAATCAACTAAATATTCAAAAAACTCCAGTTTTCTTCCATACGCCAAACAATCCACAATATAATTCACATTAACAACAGGCACAGAATTCGCTTCAAAAGTCGATTTAACTTCTTGCGAAAATAACATTTCGTCAGTTGCAATTGCAAAACATTGGCCGATTTCTAACTGTGACCGTGTAAATCTTTCTCTAAACGCAACATCAGCGCCTGATAACTTCAACACAGTCGACAAACAATGATTTGTTCCAATCGAAACTGGTAGGAAAAACGTGATACCATCAAAAACACGTGATCTACTATGCGGTTTTCGCCATTCGATAAAATCGCCTGTTTTTCGGTCGATTCCAGACGGTAAAACATAGTGCGATTCGTCGACGAGTTTCATGGCCGAAATACTGTCTTGGACGAATCTTTTTCCTGATATGCATGGTATATTGAGTGCCAAAGCGGATAGGTAGTTGACGGTTGGGACATATTTAGGAGCCAGTAAAAACACTTTGCCTGAAAAATAGGATTTGTAAAATAAAACTAGAAAAATTATTCTTTTTATATGAAACTTTTTACAAATAAAATGATGGGTACTGTTTTTATCTTTCAAAAGATGGGTACTGTTTTTAAAAATCTACAAGAGACGCTAGATATATTGGTTGAATAACCAACGTAGCTGAAATTGCTTAAAATGGTCAAGGATACCGACTATCAATGACATTCGAAACTCACCTATGAGTTTTTTGTCCAAATCCTCCGCAAGCTGTACAATTCGACCTCCATTACTGGAAATGAGTTCGACCAGTTCTGGATCGGAGACATTTTCTGGCTCTAAATTCTCATCACGCTCCAATTCTTCGTCTTCATCTGAGCAAACAAAACGTGACACTCCAAGAACAAAAAAAAACTATCAAAAATGATCCCAAAACCCAGATTTTCAAACTGCTCGATTGTCCCAGCACCAAAAATCCGTGAAAAAAAAATGGGACACCAATATTACTTTTTGTTCCGACCAATGTGACACGCTAAGAGCGATGTGTTTCGGGTGTTTTTTTGTCTTTCACGCAAAATAAGGAACCACGAGTGATCATGAGAAGTCCAGTGATGTAATATAAAAACTTTTTCAGTCGTGATTCGAACGATCTTAAAATATCCCAAAAAATTGTCCCAGTATCGAGAAAAACAATTTAAAATTTTTTTTAATTTTAGCCTAACCTTCAGCAGAAAAAGCGAAAGAGCAGGCTTACAATAGCTTATTTAAGCTTAAATTAAGCGTGAATACTTAGTTTTACTCGAAATAAGTTAGTTCTTAGATTTTTTAGCGCCATTTTCCCCAAAGCCTCCAAAAAGTGACTAAAAACGTCTCTTCTGACTCGTTTTTTTTTTTGAAAAATTTGCTTGCGAAAGGTGAAAGGTATTATTGATAAATATGGTCATAATACGGATTTAGGAGAGCTCTATTTGGTCGAAATATATTTTTAAAGTTTTTTTTAAAAATACCCTCCGCGACGAGAAAATCTTAGGTTTGTCACTGTAATAAATATCAACACAAGCACACCACTGCAGATCGATAATTTCTCACTGCGATTGTTATCGGAAAACCTTATTATCGAACATGTTTTTAATGAACAGAACAATTAATTCGACAAAATCGAATTGAAAGCGTACCTTCGTTTGTATCCTCAAACAGATCTAAACTTCTCCTAGTATCAGATGCTACAGATGGTCTCATTTCTCTTTCGCAAGATTGTTTGACAGATGAAGAAGCGTCCATTAGGAAAGTATCGTTACTGTACTTGTACCCTGTAAGCATGAAAGACACTCCAGTGAAAATCTGAAAACAGAGCAAGCTTAGTTGTCACTTTTGTTCTTCAAAAACAGAATTAATTATCAATTTAAAAAGATTTTTGTCTTAAAGTTTACTCAAAATCCAATTTGGTAAAATCCAATCTGTTATTTCAACTGAAAATTAAAAAAAAAAACTTTGCAGAGATTGTGGTCGGATATCTTTTTCTATTTCCATATTAACCATTTTCTTTAGTTTCCTTAGAAATTATCAACTTACAACACGGCTCTTTTTCCTCCCCATCTGTGAAATTTTACGAGTTAAATATTTGTCACTTTGTACAATTGCTCTGAGAATTGACATGCAGAATAATTAAGCCAAGTCAAACATATTTGGTCCTAATCTGGATTGCATAAATATGCGGCGCATAATCCCGCATAGTTACCGCATCATAAGCTTAAAACTCAAAATCGAAGAAATTCAGCAAAAATGAAGCATTTTGAGCTAACTAAAAGACTACCGTGAGAAAATTTTTTAATTTCTACAGAAAAATTCGACGCTTGAAACGCTCAAGTACCCCCCAAAAAAATTGAAATAAAATAAAGAAAAAATTTCGGGTTCAAATGAGTTGGGAGGTTCGTCAAAAGGCTAATTTGGCAAAATCTGACCTTTTTTGGCAAAATTTCGACTTTTTCCTGGAATTTTATTTTTTTTTCGCAGTAAGGCCCACATTACTAATAAATACTGCCCACAGTCCACATCGCAAAATTTAACTACTGGAGCCCGAAGGGGGGTTGAGAAATTAGACGACAAGCAAATTAGACGAAGGCACTTATAAGGAAATTAGACGATTTTGCAAACTGCAGTTGTGAGAAAATAGATGAAAGTGAGAGAGATTAAAATTGTTTGCAGACAACATTTAAATTTCGGTGAACAACAATTATACATGTCAATCATGCATAATTTATTCCATTCGAAACTCTCCTGTAATATTCGGATTTGACATCTTATGTTCAAATCAGGGGCGGATTTAGGGGGGGGGGGGCAGACGCCCCCCCCTCTCAGGGATTCGACCCCCTGCCGACCCAAAGGGTCCCCCTTTGATACTTTTTCAAAAATCCATTTTTGGTCGACCGACCCTAAAATTTTTCTAAAGGCGCCTTTGGCGCCAATATATACTAACTTTGAGGGGGAGCGCGCGCCAAAAAAACGCGATTTTTTTGTCAAAATTTTTCAAAAATTGCCCAAAAACGGCTTTTTTGACTGTTTTTTCAAAAATTTGCCTGCGGCCCAGAAAATTTAGCCAAAGTAGGGGCAAAACAGTGCTTTATGAGAGCTCGAAAAATCAATTTGGTCAACATAAAAAAAAAAAAGGTCGTCAAAATTTTGGAAAATTTTTTGAAAATCCGCCCCCCCCCCCTCGAGAAAATCCTAGATCCGCCCCTGGTTCATATAAACTAATTCTTTTGATAAGTGTTGTCACTTATGTTCCTTTTTGTATTTGTAAAATTTGGCTATTACGAAAAAATTTTAGTTGGCTCTTTCCTTTTCATAGCAGTGAGTGACGTCTTAAGTGTCCGATCTGTAAAAAAAAATCCATCTAATTTCGTTTTTGTAACATCCGTCTAATTTTTTAGGCCCCTCCCGAAGATTTTTGCCAAAACTCGTCATCATTTTCATCCTTCGAAAAATATTCGTTACAGCATTAAATTGATGCTAATTTGGAATAATGGGGGCATAAAGACATAAACGCAAATACAGCAGCCCCAATTGACAAAATCGATCATTGCAGATATTTTTAGGTCATATAAATAATTAAAGCATCAACAACTTCAAGTATATAACTTCTTTGTTGGTGGCTCAAATAAATTTGGGCTCCAATTGCTGGCTTAAAAACGAAAAAGCTTTAACTATATAACTTCTTGATTTGGACTCAAACTGCTGGCTTAAATAAAAAACTTTAACTGTCTAACTTCTTGATTTGGGCTCAAATTGCCGGCTAAATAAAAAACTTTAACAATATAATTTCTTGATTTAGACTCAAATTGCCGGCTAAATAAAAAAACTTTAACTATATAACTGACCTTATGAGTTTTCTTTGCAGACAGCGCTTGTTCTGTCGAGTCCGAAAGTAATCGATCAATGCTGGTTCTTTTTAGCTCCTTCAGCTTTGGAGTTCTAGGTGTTCCCATTTTTTTGCTGTCTTCTTTCGATACAAAGTCACTATTTAAACTCAGTGATAAGCAAAAAAATAACCATGATTGACATTTTTGCGAATTCATTCTTTTAAAATTCAGAAAAAAATTGATATTTTCATATCTTATGGATTTTCCAGGCTCTAAAATTAGAAAATATTAAATAAAAAGTTCAAGATTGGCCAACCGAAACAGAAGTGTGTAAAAGTATCTGAAGATAACGTGTTCGGAAGACCAAGGTGTTGAGAGTTCTGGAATCGAGAGTGTTTTCCACCCAAAAACAGGTACCACAAAAAAAAACGCCTGATAAACTCGAAATATATATCATATTGAATCCCTTTCAGTCGTGACTTGGTCAATATTTTGAAACTCTCGAAAAAATGGGATTTGAATATTTATTTTTATAGAGCCATTTAGATCAAGTTAAATGATCGACTCAGGAAAAAACACTCCAAGACAGTTACTTCCTTTTCAAGAAATAGTTGGGAGCAAAAAAAAACAGATTTTATTCAAAATAAAATGCTCATCACTGTTCGTGCTAAAAGAGCTTATGATTTTTCTAAACGGAAACAGCAATCATCATAATTTGTTCTATTTAAAAGACTCGGCTAATTAAAACAAGCTCATCACTGTTCGTGAATTGGCGGTGGCAAAGGTCTCCGAAATGGATCGTCAGCTGGATTGTATTTTGTCTTCCACCTTTCGTCCTTCGCATCCAGACTGAGACTCTTGAACATGAGGTTGATCTTAGGACTCGGAGACAGAATCTTCTCTTGGGACAATTTTGTCATCACTGATTTGAGGTTCTGCAGTTCAATTATTACCTAAATAATAGTATTACCAATTACTAAATATGTTTTTCTATATAACTCCCAACTGACCTTTGAAAAGGAAGGGTTTGTTGACCCAAAATTGATGTCTTAAGAGTGTACCATGGTCGGACCCTCTGAGTCGTCAAGGATTCACATTCAATTTCTAAATCAGCTACTGGTTGAAAGACTAACCTGGTCTCTTTTCATCGGCAAAACCTCCTGCGACTCTTCAAACAACACCATATATGCATAGTTGAACTTCGCCAACGTCCGGTCGAAGCAACTGCCCATAACCTGAGTAATAACTCCCCTTTCGAAACTCGTGCAGTCATTCGGATCTTTCTGGGCGTGAACAACTGAACTAACTGGTAATTTTTCATGGTTGAATATTCGCTTGTAGTGAACTTGCTTGCGAGGTATTTCATTGTCTTTTAGAGACTGTGGGTCTGCATCAGTTTCAGTCGATTCTGGTTCGTGATAAACCACAGTGCATTGTTGATGTTTCTTTGCTGAATCTTTAGGTGCGTTTCTAAAGCATGGATAACGTTATGCAATATGACCGAAACGTGTTTGATTCATGAAATGTTTATTTTACACGGAACGATAAAAAAAAGTGAGACACACTTTCTTTATACTCGACAATTTACAAACCTTGAAACTTTTGAACAACGCTTCAAAAATGCTCTTTTGATAAATTCAGCCACAAGTTCCAAAGTAAATTTCAAAAAACTCTTAATATCGTTTTGTGATAAAAAATTAATTTGCGATACGTTAAGGCATAAAACTCTTTTCATTTGTTTCTTTGGTTTATTTGATTGAATTAATAAGAATTTTGAAAATAGCTCTATATTGTGTAACAAAGCCAACAGACTGCTTGCTGCTTTTGAAAAAATTTTCTGCTTTTGAAAAAAAATTTGCTGCTTTTGAAAAAATTTTTCCAATTTCAAAGAAAAAATAATAGCCCTTAAATCTCTTTGAAATTCAACCACAATTTATGAACATAGCCAACAGACAGCTGGAAAAAAGAGTCAATGACCGCAAGTAAAGAAAAAAACTGAAAGTCAAGTGGAAAGAGGAAAAAAGCCATAAAGTCACTGATGTCCATATATGGCTCTTAAGATCAATTCTAGATAAAGGGCTTTTGCTAGAAAGGGATATTTAAGTTACATTTAAGTTAAAGCAATCAATTTAAAATCAACTCCAAACCAACTGAAATCTGGTCAAAAACACTACTTGCATAACTTAACTTAAAAAAACTATTTCGAAGAACAAAATAGATATCTTAAAATATCCCCCTTTGGTACCTGGTAACGAATTGCCACCCATTTAAATGAACATTTCAACGGTTAAGCATATAAGAACTTTGTACCTGGTAACAAATCCCCCCCTTTTGCAAAAGAAGAGGATAGTAAATGATATCCCAAAATATCGATCAACTTACTCTACTCGTTTGATCTCGGCCGGATAGTAGTACCTGTCAACCCAGGGAGCATACACTAAATTGCCCCCATCCAAAGATGCACCCCCACTGTTCTCGGAAGTGTAGAAGGTCTCTTCAGCCACAGGTGCTAAACTGGGACTCGTATCTTGAAGGTGGTTCATTTCTTCTTTCACGCTTCTTTTCCTTTGAATTTTGATTCTCGAAACTGATTCCTGAGAACAGTCAAAAATAACTAACTATTGTTACTTTAATTTTGGTATGAGCATCAGAGATATAAATAACAGTGTAACTAGATATCGTTCGAAATTGTTTTGGATTTCTTAGACTATCCCCCCCCTTTGATACGTAGTAACGAATTGCCACCTATAATGAACTAAATTAACGGTTAAGCATATGCGCATTGTGTACCTATTTAAGAATCCAAACCCCTTTCGCAAAAATATTTTATTATATTAGTTAACTAACCTTAGGTTGAATTTTGCTCGAAAGATCCACATTGCTAAATCAGGTGATGCATAAAAGATAGCGATCGCTTTTAAATGAACTTAATTGATGGTAACTTGGTTATTAGGCCGACTGTTTGATCGAAAACGCATTTATTACCACTATCATTCCAAATTGCATATTACTCATTTTTCGGTTTTTTTAACAATTCCAAAATTATCTTTAATCAGACATCAATTTTAACAATTTATGGCTCTTCAAGGTTATGTCTGAATATCGAATAAATTTCAAGTTAGTTAATTAGTTTATGAAAACAACATCATAGTAACACTTAAACCGCTAGGTCGATAGCATATATAAAAAATGAAGTTTTGGGGTTTAATGGTTAAGAACCCAAACCGCAACCAATATTTGTGCCAAAGTTGCGAAACAATTAGAAGCCAATCGATTCGAATTTGGGTGGAATTAAAACTCATCTATTCAAAGAGCACATTTATCAAAGATGCTCTGAGCACTTTTAAATGCAAAAAAAATTAAGGAAAACAATGTTTATGATGAAAAAACTACCTGTGATTCCTCTGAGATACTAGAAACATCCGCATTGTAGCTATCCGACTTCTCCAAACTATCCACAAAATGGACAAACCATGAGCACAATTCCACCACTTTGCACAACTCTCCATATGGTTTCAGGACTTCGTTTCGGTTTTGGTCACCCATCATTTTTGATATCAATGCTTTCATAGCTGTAAGGACATCAACTTAACTTAATGCTCACTAAAAACCAACAACAGCCTATTCTTGACGAACACTCTGTGGTTGCGATATACGGGTTAATTTCAATAAAGAGTCATTTAACGTATAAAAACAGAAAAACAAGGCTAGCTGGTTATTGTGCAAGTAGCACAGAATGTTCCGACCAGTCTTAAAAATTACTACAACAAAATTATTTTTTCAAATGATTGTCGTTTTTTCGGCGTGGTGTAATAAAGGAATCTGAGCAAAAAAGTAGAACATAGGCATCTTCGTCGGTCATTGTAAAATATGCAAATTGGAAAAATACTTTTGAAGACAAACAACAAAGATAAACAAAAAAAAAAACATTTTTTTAAAAAAAAAAAACTTTTTTTAATTTTTCGTAATTATTTTCCAAAAATTTTGAAGTTTTTGGTTCGTAATATGAAGCTAAAAACTCCAAATACTAACTCTATTTGAATTAAAGGAAATTTGAAGGCTTAAATTAAGCATAAATAAGCTAATGCTAGCCTGCTCACTCGCTCGAAATTGGACGGAAAATCAAAACTTCAAACCGGTTTTTCTCGACACTGGGAAAATGTTAATTAATGTCAGGCTTGCTGTTCCAGATTGAGTTGGGTTAATAATATATTCTGTACAAGGTCAACTGTTTTCATGGTAGCAGGAGAAGCATTCTGATGGCCTCTTTCAAGTCACCGCCTGTGTGGGGCGCAGATGTGCCATTTGACTTCTGGTTGAATGACGTCAAAGTTTGGCAAGCAGTTACAGACCTTACGGTGAAGAAACAAGGTCCCGCAGTTGCTCTTTCTTTGCAAGGAAGACGCAGAGATGTTGATCTTGAAATCCCGATTGCTCAATTGGGTGCTGACGATGGTTTAGACCAACTTCTAGTCAATCTGAAGGACGTTTTCGGAAAAGAAACGGTCGACCAACAGTATGAAGCGTACGAGCTTTTTGAGTCCATGAGGTCTTCTGATGGCGTTGTTCCTGAGTATATACAGGGTTTTGAACGAAATTACGACCGTATCAAACGTCATAGTATGGAGCTCCCAGATAGCGTTCTGGCATGTAAATTGCTCCATGGAGCGTGTCTTGAGCTATCCGAACGTCGGATGGTCTTGGCTAGTGCCAACAAGTTGGAATATTCGCAGATGAAAGCGGCTCTGAGACCTATATTTGGTGTACATTGGAGTGCAAATTCTGACGTTTCTAGAGTTACAAAAGATGAACCCGCTTTTGCTGCGACTGCAGATGATAACGAGGAAAATGGAGCTGCATTTGCAACGAAACGACAACAGTATCAGATACCTGCTTAAAACAAAGCGGAAAAACCCAGGTTTGAAGCCAAAACTGCATAAAACCCCGTAGACAAGTCGGTAAGAGTGATAACCTGTGGTATTTGTGGCTCTCGCAACGACTGGGTTCGCAAATGCCCCGACAGAGAACAAAATGGAGAAGTGGATTAAGAAAAATCCTCTCATTTGCTATTGACTGTAAACGGCTGCTCTCGGAGTGTGAAACTCGTACAATTCTTGATACTGCATGAACCAGTACCGTAGCAGGTCAAAACTGGGTCAAGAATTATATAGCGTGTTTACCAATAGCGTCACAAAGTCAAGTTGTTTATGTTAAAATTGCCTCATCCATCGTGTTTGGGGACGGAAACCGTCAAGAGTCCTTGTATGCAGTTAAACTACTGGCAAGAATTGGCAAAAATGTCGTGCCATATCATACGCGATGTTATCAGTGGCTCTTTGCCCATGTTTTTCAGTATCCAGTCGATGAATGCGTCCAAAATGATTCTTGGAACCTCGAGACGTCAATTGAAAATGGCAGATAACCCAACTCAAACACAGCTTCATAGAACCAGTTCTGGACATGTCGTTGTTGATCTTTTGCCAGAAGAGAGTGATTTCTACAGTTCTCTTGTCACTACGGATAGTGAAAACTACATCGGCAGTTTGCTCATTGTTCAGCCGATAAGTTGTGCCAGTTGTTGCGAAACAGCTAAATTCTCACAGAAGTTGTTCGTGCCTGCCTTGTATACCAACACTTTGGCAGGAGCCATTGCAAGCCGGTTGGGTTACCAATGGCCAGTAAATTCAATGAAACTGTGGCAATGGATCCACATCAGCTAGATATACGAGGTAAAACTGCCTATTATCTCCATATCATCGACCTGTTCACGAAGTTCTCAGTAGCTGTTCTCATTTTTGACAAACAACCGGATATGATCGTATCCAGAATGTTTCAGTTTTGGTTGACTGATCATTTTTGACTGATAATGGAGGCGAGTTCAACAACGAGAGTTTTCGAAAAAGTGCGGAAAAATGAATATTGCAGTCAAAACTACGGCTGCGTACAGTCCATGGTCGAATGGTAAAGTAGAAAGACATAACCAAGTCCTTACGCAGACATACATCAAGCTCTGCTGCGAAAACGCCAATTTTAGTCAACAACTAGCACTTGATCATGCGTCTTTTGCTAAGAACTGTTTACTGAATTCCTCGGGATTCTCGGCGTTCCAGTTCGTTTTCGGATTTACGCCAATGTTACCGTCGATAATCAGCGACAATTTACCGACACTATGCAGTTCGAGTGATCTGTCTGTGTATGCAAATGGAGTTTTGAACACTCTCCAAAAGGCTAGAGGCGTATTTACAAGCAGAATCGTCGTCATGGGTCAAACGTGCTCTAACGAAGAGAGTACGGGAAGTCAAAGAAGCTATCAGTGTTGGCGATAGCGTGTTCTATAAAAGAGAGAAAGTAAACTGGCGAGGACCGGCAACATTACTGGGAATAAACGGCCAGCAAGTTTTCGTGAAGCACGGAGGAAACAGTATAAGCGTACATTTGACAGAAGTCCGAAGCATTCACTGTCCTATGTTTTATAACGACGATGACGTAAATTTCTTGCGAGACACACCTTCCACTATCTCGGATGCGACAAACTTCAAACACGACGAAGTGGACAAAGATTTGTCCAATGAAAGCGACGGAAAAGCTGATAGTGACGAGGATTTTGTCCCCGAGAAAACTGATCACCAACCACAGAAGTCAGAAGTGGAGATATCCACAGATTTTGCCCCTCTCGTTCCGCAGTCCAACACGGAACGGTGTCCGAAGCGTCGAGATGTGGTTAAAATAGGTGAAAAATCATCAGAAGAACGTGAATGTGTCATTCTTGGCAGAGCTGGCAAGGCTAGTGGACGGAACAAGTTCTGGTTGAACCAGAACTTGTGCCGTCCACTAGCCTTGCCAGCTCTGTCAAGAATGGCACATTCACATTCTTTTGATGATTTTTCACTTATTTTAACCACATCTCCACGCTTCAGACACCGTTCCGTGTTGGACCGCGGAACGAGAGGGGCAAAATCTGTGGATATCTCCACTTCTGACTTCTGTGGTTGGTGATCAGATCAGTATAGAGAAATGGTAGAGTATGTAGAACCAGCAAACCTCACTGGTAAACAGGAGTCGATAGACTTCAGCAAAGTATACTGGGACACCGTCGAGATCAACACGGTGTTCATGACAGCCACTGAAGATGTTCTTGAGAAAGCCAGGACTGAAGAGTATAAAAAACTGAGTTTCTGGGACGTTTTTGAAGAAATACAAGATATTGGCCAACAAAAAATTAAATCTCGATGGGTTTATTCCGAGAAAAATAACGGGAAAGTTAAAGCCAGACTCGTGGCGCGAGGCTTCGAAGACGTTGAAAGGTCAAACTTGGTCAAGAACTCTCTTACTTGCTCTAGAGATACGTTCAGAGCTTTTCTTGCGGTCGCCAGTACAATGAGCAAGTGGATTTTCGGGAGCCTAGACGTAAAAGTGTGTTTTTACAGGGCACACTTATCAAAAAAAAGTGTGATTCTTCAGCCACTGAAAGAACTCCGACGAGAGTGTTTTGCTTGGAAACTAAAAAAATCATTAAATGGACTTGTGGATACCCCAAGAATGTGGTATCTCCGCGTACGTGATTTTCTCGAAGAAACCGCCAGAAATCAAAGTTTGATTCATGTTTGTTCACCCAGAGAGACAATTCGGGAATTTCTGGAGCTCTGGTTATTCATGTGGAAGATGTCTGTTACGTGGGGAATGACAGTTTTGAGTCCTCTGTGATAACTCCACTCAAAACTGAATTTTCAGTTGGTGCTGAGGCTGAACTACCCTTCAGGTATCTAGGCCTGGATCAAGCTAGAGGTGAAAACGAGAGTTTGATCGTTGACCAGGGTCACTATGTGTCAAAAGTCGAAGAAGTGCACTATCTGTCAAACTGCGTGAAAACTGCGTCAAAAACGGAACTGAGAACGTCCAATAAGGTTCTTAGGCGCCTGCATCAAACTACTGTCTCGAGACTGGCTTTCCCAGATTTCAAAATAACCGAAAATTGCGTAATTTTGTCCTTTTTCGATGCCTCATTGAACAACTTAGTCGACAGAGGCACACAAGCTGGGTTTTTAGTTTTATTAGTTAACCTGAAGACCCAAAAATTGTCCATAATGAATTGGAAGTCCTATAGACTGAAGCGCGAAGTTCGGAGTACGCTTGCCGCTGAAATGATGGCCAGTGCTGATGCACTGGATTCTGCCTTCTAGTCCAAAGAAATCATTGGGGACTTATGTGGCTACAATTTGAGGATAATCTCTCTCGTAGACAACAAATACCTAGTGGATTCAGATTATTCAACTAAAAATATCGTTCACAAACGGTTACGGGTCGAACTGGACTACTTGCGAGATTTTGTCGCACGAAGAGTAACTAAGTTTGTCTGGGTTCCTACGAGATATCAACTACCCGACTGTCTGACGACGTCATCGAAGAAACTGGCCAAAACCTTGCTATAGTGCCTACAAAACAAAAAACTGCCTTTGTTTTATCGGGAGAATAATGATGCGTTCGCTGAAAATGCAAAACTGCAAGAAAATGAGTGAAAGAAACGCGTTCTGCGTTTAATTCTGTTGAAATTGAGTCCAGTACATATAAACTGTCATTGTGCATTGTCTATGTGTGTGAGTGTAAAGTGTGATACATATAAATTGTCATTGTGCATTGTCTATGCATGTTTGTGAGTGTAAAGTGTGATAATATAATCATTTTGAGCCATGTCCACGGAAGTATTCAATTTTCATTGGTGATAACATATTCAATTCCTCATTCATTAACGGTGCTGCTCATTCATTAACGCGTTACACACGTGTTGAAGGAATTGTGTAGGTGCTTATTACGATAAACCAGTTTATAACATATTCATTTCAAGTGCTGTGATAGACCTGTCAACCATATTAAAATACCGTGAGATTGTTAATTAATGTCAAGCTTGTTGTTCCAGATTGAGTTGGGTTAATAATATATTCTGTACAAGGTCAACTGTTTTCAGAATCTTTTCGAATATTTTTAAAGTTCAAATCACGACTGAAAGGGCTTAAAATGATATATCACACGACCCTGTCTAATGATTATTTGTGGTAGCTTATTTTGCGCGGAAAACAAAACGAAAAAAAACTAAAACACACCCGAATACAAAGTGCCTCCCCATTTCCAATGGTAGGAACAAAAACTAAAACACACCCGAATACAAAGATCCTCCCCATTTAAAAAAAAAACCTGAACTATTTCTAAAAAATTATCGATGGACTTAAAACTTTTTGAATTTGGAGGAAAAAAAACCATAGCCAACATACTGCTGGAAAAAAGTCAAAAGTCTACGTTCATCGACTCTCAAGTTTACTTGAGAGATTTTCTGTGAACTGCAAGTAAACAGAAAAAAAATACCGACTTACTTTTTTGAGAAAATCTCAACGTTCGAATTTAACAGAAAAAAAATAGATGACCTTAAAAATCTTTGAATTTCAAGAAAAAATTATCATTGACACTTTTGTTAAAATTAACCCAATTTGAGAAAACTGAGTCAATATGTTTAAAAAAATGATTTGAGGTTTTTTCTGAGAAATTCGATAATTGAATTCCACTTTCGAAACTAGAAGTCGTTAACGTTTTTCACGACCTTTACACTTTTGTTCGATGGTGGGGTTTGCCTTCATTTTAACAAAGAAATGAATGAACTTGAAAAGAAACCAAAGTCAAATGCGAAAAAGTAAATTTGAGTCTCAAAAAAAACAAAAGGAATCATCCCGGCCTATATAAGATTCTTATCTACGTTCATCGACTCTTAAAAATACGAGCCTAAATATATGCATTAGCAAAGAACTGATAGTAGACAAATTGGAATTGATTTTGAATTTCCCTGAATCTCAAATCTATTCTCAAGTGACAGGTCTTCATAGCTTGTAGCAAATTCGTACCAATTTTATTCAAATACTCCTTTTAAAGTGTCGCTTATTTAGTGAGCGTTTAAGTTAAATGAATTCCTTTGAGTTTCGCTCTCGTTTCGTAATTGTGTAATCTGGCAAAAGAACAGTCTGATTTGGTGTCCGAATGAGGAGGAGTCTTGTCATTGTGACTGTTTTGATGACCGTCTGCACTTCCATCTATCGTCGGCGTAAAAGACGACTGGTCTAAACAGTGAGATTTTGGATCGCCTGAACTATCCCCCCTTTGAAAAAAGGGAAGGGGGGATTTTTTTAGAAGGTAAAAAGTTCACATAAACTTAACCGTTGAATTATTTTTTACAGGGGCGGCAATTCGTTCCTATGTACTAAAAGGGTGGATAGTTAAAGACATCCGAGTTTTTTAGGGATAAAGTATGCTAAAACAGTATTTAACTGACAAAGAAGACGCTGGAGCCTATTAAATCATCAATTGAAAACTCCCAAACATCGGTTTATAATAACATTCATTATCTAAATTCGCTGCCTGAAAGACTTCATAGAAACATGCCTTTATATCAAAAACCATTATACAAGACATAATACATAAATTACTAAAATTGAACCTCAGACTTCTTTCCATGTATTACAAAGAGGCGAAGCACAGCTGCTATTTGCAAGTTAGCGAATCCAAAATGACACGGAAAAGACAACATCGAAAAAAAAATTGGAAAAAGGAACACATTCACCAATATTAACTAAGATTTTAGTGTTTCCCAAGCGGCACCTAAGACGAAAACAAGTATGTAGACACCAATTGATCCAAAAACGAAAATAAATAATTTCTGTCATTAAAAAAATCGAGCAGTTAAGTTTGAAACCTTGTAACAGAACCTGAAATTTTTCTTAAAAATAATCAGTTATTGCTTTTGAATCGAAACAAAACAGAGTAACTAAGCCGACAAAAAATAACCCAACACCATTAAGGCCAAATAAACCTTTAACGCCAACGAAACAGAAAAAGGAAAACCAAGGAAAATATACAAGAATGAAACTATTTGAGAGTAAAAGAAACTACCCCGATGTGTGAACTAAGCTGGGAAATCATAAGCAGACAAAGGAAGGACCGGCGAGTCAATTTTTACCGAAAAAAAAATTTTTTACTTTTATTCATACTGAAAAAAACATGGTCCGGCCGAGACTCGAACGCCAAAGCTTAGGGTACAAAAGCATTCACGTTACCTCTAGGCCAAGAAGGAAAAGGCCTCGAAGTTGCTACGAATCATTACTAAAGCCACTTTACGATTTAGAAATATGAAAGAAACGTTGTTTATGTGAAACTACGTGTATCTAGTTCTCGATGGTGAAGTGATCAATGCTTCGATTCTCAATCGAAAGGTCGGATGATCGAGGCCCACGATGATCCGTGCTGCTTGAGGGTGAGGCAACTTTACCCAGCGCAGAAAAAAACCAATTATATTGCATGTAGTTCTTAAGCAGGGCAAAAACAGCAGTTTTCCATGATGAGTTGAACAGCTCGTATGTTGGTCCTTTCCCTTGTGGATGAATCGTCTTAACTCAAATGTTTTACCGAATAAAACTGTCACTGAGGTACGCCCATTTCTTGTTGTGCATGAACGAAGGTTCAACATTCAGACACACTTTTTTCGCCAGGTCGAAATGAAAGTTATAACTCACGATGAAAAGCCATTCACTTTCGTAAACTTTTTCATGAATGCAAAACATTTCACTAGCTCGACAAAGAAGAAAGCAAACATTTTTTTAAATACTGCTATCTGTTGAAATCATGGGACAGAAAGAAAATGAGCTTCGCACCACTTGCAAAACAGCTTTAGGATGGCAGCACCATGACGCTCAAAACTTAGCAAACAGTACTTCGAACGATGTTACTATTGAAGGAAAAGTAAACGACAAAAAAATGAAACTATATTTTTTCTTTTCAAGTTTAAATTTATTGAAGTTCTTTAAAGGTTCTAGTGGGGTTGATTTTGAGCATTCAAAAACTGATGCAAGCTTAATAGAACTGAAACACTCCAATATATTGCAAATTCCACCACTAAATGAATGTATATCGCAAAAAATCGAAAATTGACATTTGTTGAAGCGCTGATCAAATTCTAAAAAAAGACGAATCAGTTGATTTTCAGACAAAAAATAGCACAAAAAAAACGATCGATGAGAAATAATTTTTCAAAATCATAATAAATGGATACTTTGGAAAGTGTAATTCAGACACCGAAAAGAGAATCTTGAAGTTACAACTTTTTAACTTTCGAATTTTCAGTTTAGGATCTATGAATTTTAAGATTTTTCATGATTCGCGCTTTAAGGAATCCCAATTAGAGAAAACTTGATCAACAGGTAATTTTTTTTATTGCGCTAGGAATTCAAGAATTAGGCACATTTTGAACCTAGAAGACATTCAGGTTTTACGTGAACCTTAAAACTTTGCTATTCGATGGTGCGGTTTGCCTTCTGCAAAAGAAATTAACTAGACTTAAGAAAATCAGTCACTAAACCAAAAAAAAATCAAACATAAATGTAAATAAATCATAACAAAAATTTCCTAAAATCATAACAAACAATTTGAAGTGACAATCACTTCGTTCATCTACACTTAAAAAGCATCAACATAAACAATAACATGTATCTATCCGCTCCGGCAGAACTTCCGAATCAGTTTTCAAACCAACCAACCTACTGTACTTAAATAACTGACGTAAGAATAGAGTGAAAACAAGCCGACTTTATTTCAGAAAACAAAAAATCGACAAATACTCGAAAGAACTTGGAATCGACAAATCAAAAATGTCTTAAAAAACTGTTTGCTCAAAATTCGAAATTTCCGCAAAAAATATTAGATCTCAATTTCATGCAATATTAGAAATTACATTTGAAATGATAAAAAATACGAATTCTTGGAAAAACCTGCGCTGCGGGAACCAAGTAAAAAAAAAGTCAGAATATTATCCAAAAAACTATAACTTTAAGAAAAAAATAGAACCCAGCCAAACTATACTTTTCTGTCAAGCATGCGTTTTTTCTCTACGCCAACCGTGCAATCATTCACTTAATTAGAATTTGCTATGAGACTAATTGAAACACGTACAATATTCTCACGAGCAAATCTGTGAAAAAAAGTTGTTCGATGAAAACAACCTAGTACCAATTTTCCACATTTGCTAACCACATACCACTCTCAATTGATTAGCTTCCTAACCATGCTTTGTACCTGGACTTCAAGAAAGCTTTTGACAAAGTCGATCACTGCATTCTTGAGAAAATTGCGGGCCATGGAAGTCTCTGGCTACCTATTCCGGATGATCCAAGAATATCTCTCTGGACGCAAACAACACGTATTTGTCGAAGGCTGGGTTAGCGAAGACTGCGACGTTTCCAGTGGGCTGCCCCAAGGATCACTTCTCGGTCCTCTCCTTTTTCTTGTTTACATAAATGATATGCCAGAAGCCTTACACAACCTTCGCGCTCTCTTGTTCCTTTTAGCTGATGACAGCAAAGTTATTGCAACTAATTGCCTTCTCAGTGACTGCATCATTGCCCTAGAGAATTGGGCTCTAGACAACAAGATGTACTTCCATCCAACCAAAAGCCAAGTAATCTTACTGGTCGGAACAAATTTCGAAGCGTCTGAGGAAAGCCTACAATACTTTCTTCATGCTAAAGAGAAACGTGTCAATACGCTTAAGCACTCTGGCCAAGATGAACCTTTATAAGAGCACAGTTCTATCAATCCTCTGCTACGCTTCACCATGCTGGTATGCTTCAGGGGTGACATGAGAAAACTGGTGCAACTTCAACGGAGAGTCAGTATATGGATTTTACCACATATCATCGGCTACAAAGAGCGTCTTACTGTGCTAGAACTTTCACCTATCCCATTTTATTTACAGCTTCTGGACATCTTGACACTATCAAAGATATGCAACGGACAATATACCATCAGCCCTGAAGATAAAGTAGAATTGAGACACAGTCCCCGAAGAGAAAGCAGAATGATTCCGATATCGCGTCAACCGAGATTCGAACTCTCTCATCAGGATTTTTTTCATTCGAACATCAAGACTCCTTCGATTCCTGCCTTCTATCGACGTCACCAAGCCTATTGGCTTGAAACCCAAACTTCTTCGCCTTTTCTGGAACCATTTTGACACAAACTATACAGAAAATAATTTATGTTCATGGAGAAGGTTGCAGATGCAGCGGTTGCATAACTTGATATGTTTATTCGGGACACGTTCCCCTCAACTTGTGTTGTAAATCCAATTTATTATTATATTATTATTATTACTTTGAACAAAAAAATTGCGTAATATTTGCTGAACTGCCCCGATACCATTACAAGCGAGAAAACTTATGAGATACAGAAGAATTAGGAACAGGAGCAATTAAGCTTTCCTAATTTTTATACCCTATAAGGGTCCTTAATAATTAAATAAATATCCTATCTCCAATCCACCGACAAAAACATCAACAGGCCCCAGTGATGAGTCATAGCAACCAAATTTGTAATTTGGGTTAGAAAATAACAAGACTTTACATAAGTCAACTGTTGGATTACAGACTTAATCAAGTTTTAAAAATAAACAAATGACACCAACCAAGATTCTGAGTAGAAGTAACGACATTCAAATGCGACAAGCATAGATCCATCTTAGAGGTTGTGAACACATTTGAATGGGCCGGTTGTTCAGGCAGCGGACACACACTTCTAGGACAAAATTCAATTTAAATGAGGGAATCTTTTCTTGTAGAAGCGTTTGTCACAACGATTGAAGTTTCAACTAGAATCTGGTTGCATAATTTGAACAAGATACCAATTCTTCTTCTTCTGAATATTTCTTTTTTACTATGTCAACGACAATATTTCATATATGCAGAGCCAATTTGATACCAGGCAAAATCAATCGAAAAGCAAAATACGATTCTGTTAGATGATATTTTTCTTTAACTTTGCAAAGTTCTACAGCATGGTCATAATCATCTGGATATACAGTATGGACTCCAAATGCGTTTGATTCCAAGAAACCGTATATGAATAACTTGGTGGTGAAAACATGCTATAACACATGACCAAAATTGGATAAACTGGTTTAAAAATTGGTTTCGAACTAACTTGCAAAAACTCATGTGAAGAATTTTGTCTTCCTCCATTTCATCACCAATAACTCTTCTTAGGACACCTCTGACCGCATCATTTACTCTTCTGAAACGAGTTCAGAGACCAGATTAGTTTAAAATTATCATTAAAGGCCACTTTCTGTCACATCTTCATAGCTTCATAAAACCAAAGCTGCAATTTACACAAATATAGAATGAAGAATACAACTCTTTCAAAAATACAATTTGATCAAAATCCTTGTAGTATATAAACGCCGCAAATAACAAACCAAAGCATGTCACATTAATTAGAATTTGTTCAACAATTAAGCCTTCCCTTTCTCAACCATGGTGACGAATCAACAGCAAGGGAGGAAATTCAGAGCGAGCGCAATCGTCGTATGCAGAGCACGAAGCTATGTAATAGTGCGAAACTTAATTTCGTGCGACTGTAAGTGATGACTGTAAATGATGAGTAGCTGTCGTCCTTTTTTGGCTAAATTTGTCAGCTAGTCAGTTAATAACATTAACATGCGAGGACAATGGTCCTGCCCTTCCTGTACAGGCAAAAATTAGGCGGTCAAAATAATCATGTTCGACATAAACCTGTCGTTGCTCGTACTTCAGCTTTTTTGCAATTTCATGCTGTTTGTAAGTTTCGTCGATGATTCTTGAGCAGGTCTTGGCATGTGGATTGAAAACGTTCACGTCAAAGTAGGTTTTACTGAGCCGTTATTCCCATAACCCATTGGCTTTGATATCTAACCCTGCTGCATCATCAGTGCTAGTAGACTTCTAATCAAGGCTGCGCATCATTTCGACATCATAGCAAACTTCGTTCATCAAATCAGCAAAAACATCTCGCATCTAGTTGTCTTTCTTTTTTAGTGAATCCACCTTTGGGCCAATGTAAACCATGACTGGTTTTCAAAAGCTCACCGCACATCCATTTCTACAGGAAGTTACTTGCTTTCCATCCATATCTTAATACAACTCCGTCTCTGAATTCCGCCTTTGTTAAAAAAAATTATATCGTTTCGGCGAGGATGCGTTTAGCCAGTTGAATGAACCTTTTGATGTTAAAATCAACAATTAATTTTCAAATTCTGACAAACTATTCCTTTCTTCGACTGATTTTGATTAGTTGCTTTTCCTTTTTAATAGTAATCGCATTATGTTCATGTTGTTGGTTAGTGTCTTTGATTTTCACCTACGCTAATGAACAATTATTGTGGAAATTGAACTTTTGTTTATTTGATCTTCAGTCAAAGTCAGGTTCAAACCTCCATCTATCACAGGGAGAGAGAACAACCTGCGAAGCTTTTTTCTAAATGTGTTTTTAAGGAGAGCTTGTATGAGTTTATTAGCTAAAATATTCTCAAGTTTCTCAAAAAGAGCAGTGTTAGGATTTATCCGAGCAATGAAAACTAATTTTGGTTGTATCTGTGGGGATTTGAGAAAATTTTCCATGTTGCGCTAGCTTCTTATCGTGCTTTGCGGTTTTTTCCAGCACAAATTTCCTACGAAATTATTCATCGCCTATAACAAAAGCGAGGACTCTATGCCCATCGACAATATCTACTAATTCTTTTTTGAGTACTTCTTTTGCTTTGATTAAAAAAATTCGAAATAATCAACCCTAATTTTGCGTGTTCTCAGGATATTTTCAGGGATTGCGAACCTTGCTTCTACAACAGACTTCTCAAAATTTCAAATTATCCGAGTAAATTTGCTTATTAACGACTATTCACAATTTTCACCAAAGTCGTACTTCAAAAAATATCTCAAATTTTGAAATGAATGAAACTTTGGTAGGGGGTCATTGCAGGGTATAGATTTGACCTACAGTGTTGTGATTGCTTAATTTTTCAAGTTTCCGAGATATGACTTTTTTCTATTTAAACTTTTTTTCGAAGTTTTGGATTCAAAAACGTTCCCAAAATTTCAAAAACATGATTCTTCGGGGTTATATTGAGTTAAATGTGAACCACGTTTTAAATTAAGTTTCTCCCAGGGTTGCAGATATGGCCCCCAAGTTTGAAGATTCAGATTTTTAAGTCTTCTGAGATCAACCATCCATTATTGCATTGTTCCAACCAACAAGCCATCCGTTTACCTAGATATCAATTCATCTAGCAATTGATCAATGCAACAACATGTATTCTTCCGATCATCTATACATCCTGCAAGCCATCAAGCCAATCGATCATTAATAGGCATTTTCATCAAGCTTTCATTCAGCCACCAATCCCTCTAGTCCTCCAACAAGCCATCCGTCCAAGTCGTTCATTCATCAAGCGATCCATCCATCAAGCCATGTATCCAACCAAGCAGCCATCAAGCTAATCTTTCATCTATCGGATTATCCATTTAGCTATCCATCGATCAATCCATCCATCTGTCCGTCCAGCCATCCATCCATCTATCCGTCAAGATAAACTGCCCAACCCAAAAATCCAATCATGGAGGACTGTAAAGAGTATTTCTGAGCACCAAACATGATTTAAAAAGATTGTGAAGCCACTACACATTATTTTTTTTGTTGTTTCAGTCTTTTATCCGAAACCGTTTAGCGTCTGAGCAGTAACTAGAAAAAGTTAGGGTTTTTAGCGAATGGAACCCTTGTTAAATTCGCTAAAAACCGTTTAGCGTCTGATCAGTTGTTAGAAAAGATTACCGTTGTAGGCTAATTAGATTATATTTGTGAATCAAGCAGCTTTTTTTTATTTTTCCTCATGTAGTCACAATGATGAGCTTGATTTCTGCCTCTCACTATGAACATTGTCCTAAAAACGTTTTTCACAGATAGCAATTGAGACGTTTTGAAAAGTTAAAATCAAAGCTTCCTTTTCAGTCTTGATTTTTTTCCCAATTTATAGCGCTACCACACCCTCATTTTAGATGTATCAGTAAACAGTAGGCTCTTCTCTGTCTTTCTGTAAAAAACTGACAAGCTGAAAACCGTTGATCGAAAAATAGTTTTTCGGCAAAAGTCATTCATTAATCACTCAAAATACTGAAACTGATACAATTCATCGATTCATTGAACTGAAACCTCGCCTGCTGATGTTCGTCTGGGCCTACTTTCATAACAATTTCGGCATCCAAAACACTTGTTCCTGGCGTTTCGCCTGTCACTCTAACTCATGTTGCAAGATTATCCATCACTGATCTATGTTTAGGGATTCCAACCCTTTAATCCCTTCAATCATAAAGTTTTCGTAATAATAAAAATTTTAAAAAACCTAAATTACAAAAGGGGCCCTTCCGTTTAGTTACGGTAAGTGCACAAGCTGGATAGGGCCATACCAGCGATATAAAAATGCATATATATCAGCAATGAAGTCTTAAATCAGCATTAAATGCATCGTCGTAATAGTAATTTATCTTAGCCGTCCTTCCTCTACAATAGCGCTCACGGAGTTGTCGATAAATTGAACTTTGCGTAGCGATCTGCGCCCCCTTATACAAAGGATAGAGCTCCTCAGGAGTGCGAAGCTTATTTTAGTTCTTATGTAGTTTATAGATTCTGGATAGCTCTCTTGTCTTTTTTCACTTAGTTTTTCGGCTAATCGCAGCATCGTCCGCGTGGCTGTTGGAGCAGCGCCACCGGTGCATCCAAAAATAAGCGGGCAGAAGCTACTCTGCTCTACGTTTAAAATTCTTTGCTGATATTTGGAGTTCTTCAGCGTTTCGTGGTATTTGTATGCGTCCTTATGCAGTTTTCGCGATGTTTTAGCATGCGGGTTGAAAATTTTCACATCAAAGAAAGCGCGGCTGAATCGTGAACCCCAGAGTCCGTTTGCCTTAATGTCAAGTCGTGCCTCATCTCCAGTTGTAGTTGAATTGTTGACAAAGCTTTCGCCTTGCAATGGCTGAAGTTTCGGCTCAATCTCGTTATAGTAATAAAATCATAAGAATCAAAATACCTTTGTTTGACTGTTGTCGACTGATGATCAGTCTCTCTTTCCTTCTATCATTGTTTTTCACAATCATCTTTTTAACATTCTATTCAACCGTGCTTTGTTTTTAAATTTTTGATGACTGATGATGGAGTATTTCTCCGAAAAACTTTTCAATTCACTGATAATTATGTTCAAGATTTTACAATGCAGTCTATTTTACCACTACGACTCCTTGGAATGGAACAGGAGAGACAGCATAAATTTCGTTTCCTTTATCAATACCAACGGGCAAATTTACAGTCACATCACAATATTCAGAGAGTTTCCTGCTTGGACCAGTGTTTGAAGAACAAAGTCGTGCCTGAGTTTCTACTTTTTCGTAACGCAAAAAATGTTTGTTTCGATCAAGAAACTGTCAAAAACTTCCAAAGGAAATTGTTAACCAAAGAAGTGGCTCGAGCTCGAGCTGAACGAGCGAAGCTAGAAAGTAAGCTCACCGAATCAAGAGTTGCTTTCATAGAGAACCTAGCGGGTTGCCTTGTTCCATTCGTAATAAAAGTGTAGGTTTACCAATGGTAACTAAGATATCTAACTAAAATTAAAACAGAATAAAACGTAATAAGAGAATTAAAACTGACTGAAGTCTAAAAAGAGCAACCAGTGACTCGAAGTCCAATGGACTTCGTAGAGTGTACATTAACTGGTACTTGATTAAACATTAAAGGTCAAGGTTATAACATACTAAAATACTAAAGCACAACATTACCCACTGCACAAAAATGTATATCTGCCCGCTCTTCGATGTAGCCAATATCACTCATATACTCCATTCTCACCTCACTACACCAGGGCCGAAGTTGAAACAAAAAGTAACCGCGTTTAGCACCAATGGAAAATTACAGAGAGTACAAATTACAATGGAGGTGATTATATGGTAATATATACAGGCTACCTACAAGTTTACCCAGATATCTACAGTAAATGTACAAATTGATATGTACAATTGGGATTATGTGGCATTTTTACAAATAAGAAAAACTAACCTAAATCACTAACTAATTAGAATGGGTAATCCACTGGATAGAAGCTCAAGCAAATAAAAGAAATATAATGGTACGAGTTTAAAAGTTTTTAGAGTTTCAAATCGTGGCGTTAAATTTGTCATGAAAGCTATCGGCCTCCCTC